GTTTGGGTTTTTAATTTCAGATAAGCAAAACAGCCGCAATCTTGGTCACCGTCAAGCATCTCTTTCACTTGATGTCTGTCTTCCTGTCGGCCACTATAACTTTTGATTCTATTATATATTTTGTCTTCAAAAAATTTGTGAAGCTCATTTAAATGTTAATAAAGATTATGTAAAAACAATGAGATTCGATATTTCGATGGTTTGCCCGTAAAAAATTATTGAAAAAGCCTTAAAAAATTAACCGAGAAACTAGAGGACCCCCTTAAGAGGAAGTGGAATTTGCGCATGAGTAGTGGCAATGGGAAACAGTAACAAAGCCTATAGAGAAAACACATTTATAAAAAGAAACAAATCAAACTGAAACTGAAACTGGCTAATTAAATAATTTCTACCAAGCAATACTAGCGCTAGTTGCGAATAATTCGTGCATTTTAGGGTGATACTTTGTAATTTGGCATATCAAAGACACGTTTACACTTTACTTTTTTTTAAAAAAAGTAGGAAAAAACAATACAATAAGCAACCGGAGTTGCTGTGTTGAAAATTGTAAAAATACTAGCAAAAAAACAATGTAAATTATAAAAATGTTTAGTAGCAAAGTGGAAATTAAATCAAAAAAATAAATGAATATGTGTACAATAAGAAGAAAAATTATCTTTATTTTTCTAATTATACTGGAAATAGAAGACGTCAGAAATTTTAAAGGTTTTAAATAAACAATAAATATTATTTTACGATGTTCTTCAACATCCCTTTAATCACAAATGTTCAGCAAGGACTAGATTTCTGCCTTTGATTATTGTATGTGGCTGGAATGCAATTTTGTGACATACTGATAGAAAACCAGTTTTAATCATTCATTCTGTTTTCTTTCGAACAAAAATGAAAATATAAATAACAATCTTTCTGTTTATACATTTTAACTTTACGCTATTATTTTTTTTTTATTTTGGCAGAATAGGTTAATTCTTCCAAGACAGCTTATTAGACTTAGGCAACCTCTCATACGTTTTTCCGTAAATACTGATACCTGTCTTTATTTTATTAGTAATTTTTATTGAATATACTTTTTTTAGTTTAAGCGATAAAAATATATAATAATAATAAATTAATGTTTCATTTGTTTTACAAATCCATATACTTTTATTAAAACTAACATATATACTTTTTAATTACGAATTCTATTAAAAATTGTATTATCAGTATAGGCAAAAATAGTCCATTAGTACAAAAATGAATTAGTGGTGCTGTCATATAGTGACATGGATATTTCTGGGTATCAGAATTCATGATAATTGTTTTATTTGTCAAAATTGTCATTATTTAGTTATTATTGGTGTCTTGGAGTGGTGAGGGTTTTTAGAAAGATGAAAAAATTTGTAAAGGATCAAGGGTGTTAATAAAAAAGTTATCATGGATAAAAGAAATTGTTGATTAGAGGATTGTCAAGGGGAAAAAAAGATTGTTAGGGATTTTTGTTCGTAGAGAGCAGAAGAAACGTGGAAGAGTAAGGTATTTGAGTAGTAGGAAGGATACAGATGAAGCATAAATCACAGCAGTAGCAAAATAAGAGAATAAAGACATTTATAAATTTTATTTATTTTATAATAATACTTATAGTTCTTATAAACTGTTTAGAAATTTAAAATCACTCCAAATCGGAGGTGTTCATATTAAGTGACACACAACATGCGACGAACCACTGTAAATTAAGATTGACTATGTTGGTCAGAGGTCTCTATATCAACTTCTAGTAATAGCTAAATTTATATCTATATTTATGAACTGTCTTTTTTTAAACGTTTTGCCTCCAACAGTTGTAGTTTTTGCATTTTAGATCTAATAATGGTTTAGTTGGCCGAAATTAGTTACACTAAATTTATGTTCATTATTAAACCTCTTTATGTGGTAAAGATTTTGAATGTTCTCTATTCCAGCATTTCTTAAACGGGGAACCCTGGGCTTCCATGAAGATCACACAAGGATTCCGCGAAACTAACATGCTTTTTTATCAAAACAAAGAAGTAGCTTCAAATACAGCAATATTCTTAGACCGGGCCTATACGAGATACAGTATACGTATAAGCCATCAGCTCCGCAATTACTGAGGCCCTTCCTATGGGGCCTCAGTATTGCATTCGTGCAGACGAAAAAAATGTTTAAAACTTTTTTTCATGTTTCTGATCAGTATGAGTTCGAAAATACAAAAAAAATTTCGTCTGGTCGTCTGTGTGTATGTATGCTGGCACGATAACTCTAGAACGAAAGTTCTGATTGACTTGCGGTTTTGATTTTCTTGAATAATTACTTCTAACTTAGAACATATTGATTTTCATAATTTTCGATTCATCCTAACTACTTTAATAACAATTTTCTTAAAATCCGCCTATGCATTCCTTATGTGACAATTTTAGGAATTTCAATTATTTCTAACGTCAAAATTCCTAACATTTTTTACATTCCATAAATTGCAAACATTCCCTAACGACCTGTCAAACAACACCTGTTGATAGTAAAGGTGAAATTTCTAAGGCGGGTTACGACCTTCATACTTGCAACCCTACAGCAACTTTGGAGGCTATTTTCATTCAAAATTAATCGCTAAGCCTGCCAATTTATGAAAAATATATAAGCAGTTTCATAAAAATTACTTTTTTATGGTAATGCTATTAAGCCTACTATTATTTCGCCCCTAGCCACAAAAACACCTTCATCAAATTTAGTGGTTCTCTGTCGCAACCCCATATAATTTAACCGGCCATTTTATTTGGCAAAAATCAGAATAATGCTTGGCTGTGCCTGTCAAGTATCAAGATGTCTACTGTGATATGTCAAATTATTAAAAATATACTTCTTTTGATATTTATTGCAAATAATTTGTAGTGTATCTCAATTCAGGCTTTCAATAAAGGTACAGCAAGACAGATAATATAATGTTCTTATACAAAGTACTTTTTTATTATATAAAAGAGAGGTAGGATATAATGCCCATTTCAAATTTGGATCAATTATGATACCGAGGTATTTGGTTGTGTTTTTCATTTTAATTATAAAGTTTTCATTTATTTGTATGTTGAAAGAAGGCCTTTGTAAATTACATTGCTCTCTATGGATCTACTTTAACACAAAAATAGTTTTGTGGCTATAAGTTGCTATGACCTATCGTCGCAAAAGTATTAATAATTTAAACATAGTAAGTAGTATTAATATAACATCAAGTAATTTTTTAAAATAAAGTACATGATCTCAAAACATAATCTATAATAAATGCGGATAAAGCGAGGGGTAAAATAACAATAAATTAAGGGAAGTACTTAAAAAGGGCAGGTTTAAAGAGTATTATCACAAGAAAGTATATCCGTTCTGTTTATTTATCAAGTATTGTTTGAGGTTACTTTTGAAAACATTTATTGGTTTTTTTTTTAATTTCTGTAGGTAGTCTATCAAATTTTTTAAACCTTTAATAAAAATTGTATTTTGTGAACTTATAGTAATGGCTTGCTGTACATGAAAGTCAGATTGGTTTCTTGTATTATAGTTGTGATATTGCGAGTTATATTGAATTTTTTCTAATAGATCTGATGCGATGGTACTATGTCATTTTTATTTTATAAATAAATATCAGTCATGTACTGAACATAACTCTGAACTGAAATCCAATTTATTTCTTTTAACATAGTTGCAATACTGATCCTTTTGTCCTTTATTAATAGAATATAAATAGGCGAAGTAAGAAGCCTAAATATTTTACATGAGCAGGCTTAAGAGGTAAAGAGGCCAATTATTATTGGATAAATTGCTCGAACAAGTTTTTAAACCCTAATCAAAAGGCGATATAGAATGGTTTTTAAAATCAAGACTTGTGAAAATCATCACATGGTTTAACCTAAGTAATGCCAATGCTTCACAAACCAAAAAATTCAACGTGCTAATACTACTATCGGCTTTCGGTATTTCGTTCCAAGTTAAATCATTTCTCGTTTTTGTAACGCTACAAGTTTACCCTTGTGGGCCTCAGTCTCGATAAGGTGGGAACCACCATTTTAGCGTCTTTCGAATTTTATATAATTTAAAGGTAAAATAGACGAATTTAATATATTAAAGTGATCTATAATATAGTTCACAAATCTGCATCCTTTATAAAGTTAAATTTGTGAGTATCAATTTCCTTTATTTAGCTGTCAAACAGTTAAACAAACAATTTTATTATTTTGAAAAAGATAAGGATCACACATAAACTTACTCAGTGAACGACATTGCTAAGTAAACAATACAATACTAAGATGTCTCGAATAAAATTTAGATTTTAATTTATTTATTTGAAGCATAGCTATGAATAGCAAAATGCCAACTAATAATTTGTCATCAAGTACCAACAAAATATATCACTTATTATTTCTCCTATTTCTAATCTTAAAATAGGGCCTCCTAACTCAGAGTACAACCATATAATGAGTTATAGGCAACTCTTATGCCATTAAAATTTCGTCTCATAAATTAATTCACATACCTGTTAGATATATTTATTTATTGTTTTATTATGTTGTTATTGTTACTCGTTTTAAAGCACCCGGTGTATTAAAAAAGATATAGATGTCACAGTGACTAATGAGTTTGGTAATTTTTGAATAAAAGTCATTCTATCAGACACAACATTTTTATTTAAAATAATCTGCTAAATCAATAAAACTAACAATACCACATATTTTTTATAGGATAAAAAATACCATAGTACCTACCTACCAACCTTAAAGATAAATCTAAAAGTTCACCTGGGCATTTTTATGTTTTAGAATAATAACTGATCCTCGCTTCCACTTATTAATCTGGATGTAAATATTATTTGAAAAATATTGTAAAAAGAGTCATTGCTGACGCAGTTCGTAATTTTATATTTAAGAAATATTTTTAAACATTTGTGCTCGAGTGCAGTTTTAACTTCCTTGATAGGTTCCTAATCCTAACTTTCCCTACTTATCGTTATTTATTTATTGTGGTTGAAACTGGCTTGCATGTACCAGCAAATAATTTCACTAAGTCCGACAAAACTGGTTTATCACACAGGAACTTTCAACCTTCGGATATTATGTAAAAATCGTTTTTAATTAATTATTTACAAATTTATTTCTCTCATGTTAATGTGTGTAGGTACCTATATGATTTAATATTATTGAAGATAGTAGAACTAGAAGTTTACATATTTGCAATATTTATATCTACTTGTCAAATTCATATTATTTAAATATGAAATTTAGTGTGCGTTATTTACCCATAATAATTGCAAATACTTTGCTTCTTACCACCATCATCACGTAAGTACCAAATATTATATAATAATCTTATTCACTTTTTACTTCGATGACTTAACCATAACGAAAACAATATAATATCTAATTGTTACATTTAAAAACATTTTACAATTCTACTAATTATTACCTGATAATTACGGGCAGTATCTATTTATTATTATAAAAGTATTTATGATTAATTTAGGACATCCTATTTTTTACGATTGTTTCCGGTATGAGGCCCAATAACCTACTTTATAAAACAATGTTGTTCCTCTTGTAACTACATAAATACACTCTTATTGTCATTCAATGAAAGTCAGGCCTGACAGAAAGAGATTACAATTAAATGATATACAGGATGTCCCGTTGAGAACTCAACGTAGAATCGCACAATTTTTCAGTCAAAATCTGACGATATTACAAAAATTACCATAATAAAATGTTAACGATAAGATATATTTTTTTTTGCAATATTTAGCTAGAGCCTTTCAAGAGGTTTTTACAAATTTTAGAAAGTACCTACAGTCAAATACCACAATTGTAAAGAGTGACTCACATTTTTAACATAGACCTTTGCGGGTCTGAGGGGATAGGAAATCGACGAGTCATAGGAGTGCGGTTAATATTAAAAATAATCTTCCGCATTTTAGAACGAATTGGTTGTCACAAAAATTGTTTTCCTATTTTAAAGATGCCTAAGGTGAGGAAAACCGGCAATAATAATTATCGAATAAGTATATATAAATTCAATTGTATATACGAGCCCTGTCTCAGTGAAGTTGGCTTAACTGCCAAAACCATGTTTTTTAAAGAAATTTGCCATATTAACGAAAAACGTATTCAAAAATATAATATTTCTGATAACATATAATATGTTTATTTAATTTTAGCCTAAAATACAATTTTTTTGTAACAGAAAAAAATCATAAATTTAAAAAATTTGTATATTAAAAAAAATTACGAACCCAAATAACAGCAAATTATAGACCAAGAGCCCAGTGCCCCCAGACATAACTTATTTTCTGAAGGACAAAATGTGGGGCATCAAGTAGTGTTTATATATGTATTGAATGCCTCCATACCTGCTAAGTTGGTTAGTGGGCCAATTCACAGGTACCAGGTGAGAAAGGTAACTATAAATAAGGTTAACTTTACTTATTTTCTAAAGGCTGATTTTTATATATATTCCATAAAATATTATTAGAAAATAATATTGAACATTGCCAGACACTTTCTGTGGGCCATAACTTCCGCTAGACGCTTTAAAGCTCCCAATTTTTTTTTGTAACTTTACTTATATTCTAATGTCTGGTTTTTATATATGTTATTTAAAGAACTATTTTAAACATATATTTATTCTACCAGACTAATTGTAAGGGCCAAACACCCCCCAGACACCAAAAACATTCAGCCGTGAGTATACGCGACTGTACTATGCTCGTGCTTTGGAGAGAGTGAGATACCTATACAAAGTTAAAAGTAGGAACTATTTAAATAATTATTACTTAAAAATATTAAAAGAAAATGTTTGTGTATAAAAATTTTGTGAAAAACGTCTTTTTAAAAAGTAACTTAGGTGTATAAAAATTTCATTTAAAAATATGTAAATGTATCTCAATCGTCCTGGTCATAATTGTTGGCGTCATTAGATTCTTCATCATCAAACCAATCATGATCGTCTACATTGAAGTATTCATCACCATCATCGTCTTCCATCTCGTTATCGTTATCGTCACTAGCAGCTTCTTCTATAAAAACAAATCAACAAATTAGAAAACTTAGTTGTTTAAATTTAGAAATTGAAGTCAATGTAAAATACCTGTATTTTGCTGAAGCGATTCACTGACAAAACCCGGTAATTGGTCACCATCAAACCAGTGAAACTGGTACTGGTTGCTTTCCAATGTCCACCCGTTATTTTCTGGAGTAAAATTGGTAGGTTGTTTTTTATGGGCATTATTCCAAATACTTGATATATAATTTGCCCGAAGAAATTGTTGAAAAAGCTCAGTTTTGCATGGTGGTAGATTGCTCGCATCAAAGTTTTTCAAGTTCTTATTGTTAAATTTCTCATTTACATCCGAAACTTTGTAATTATTTACGAACAGCTGAAGTCGGGCAGCATTCACTTCAACTGTTCCAGATGAAATTTTGTATTTTGTTAAATATAATTTTTTGAACATCTGGATTCATAAATTACTTTAACTGGCCGAATTCTATAAAAGCTTGCTGATACTCTAATTTCTTCTTTAATATGTTGAATGGTCTTTGTTTTCCTCGAAAAATCCAAAAGTCCTATGAGTCCCTTTTCCGGAATTTGGGTACACTATGGAAGTAAGTTTGCATAAACGGCAGATACTTAAGAGATCTTAGTCGGCTCATCAGAAGCATTTTTTCGTCTAACGTCAACTGTCACTTTTTTATGACGTTTTGAAAATTTCTTTATCGCTTTATAAAAAATTAACAATTTTTTAGAGGTTACATTACAATTTTAAGCGACCTCGTAGGGGTCGCTTTATAAAAAATTAACAATTTCATAGAGGTTACATTACAATTTGAAGCGACCCCGTTTCGAGAAATTCCCTTTCATGTGGTGAAAATCGAAAAAAATATTTTTTTAGTTTTTCAAATTTTCCGACTTTTCCGATGAATTTTCTGGAAAAACTAAAAATACCAGTTTACTACTCGACGTTGCTCACAACCTGGCATAGACAATTTTCCGGTACATCAAACAGATTTTCCAGGAAAATTAGGGGATAGACGAATAAAACCTGAAAAAGAATTATCCGTATCGACGAGAAGCATCGATTGATGTATCACATGACATGGTTTTTCTAACAGGGAGAGGGGGGGAAATAAAAAAAAACGCAAAATATTTCGTTTTTTTTTATTTTTGAAAAATTAAATGCAAAGGCGTTATTAAATATTTCTATAGGACGGTAAACATTTGAAATTTTCCTTCGAAAGGTAGTCGCACAGCTGTGCGACATGACTCCCTAGTATGTTCCTATTTAATTGTTTTATCAATTTAATAAAGCAACAACTCGATAATTTTAAATCACGGTTTTCCATAGTAGATATTTCAAGCCATATTAAAAGATTTTATACGTGTTGCTGTTGTATCATCGATTTATATCTTACTCGCTCCAAAGCACGAGCATATAGTACAGTCGCGTATACTCACGGCTGAATGTTTTTGGTGTCTGGGGGGTGTTTGGCCCTTACAATTAGTCTGGCTGAATAAATATATGTTTAAAATAGTTCCTTAAATAACATATATAAAAACCAGACATTAGAATATAAGTTAAGTTACAAAAAAAATTGGGAGCTTTAAAGCGTCTAGCGGAAGTTATGGCCCACGGAAAGTGTCTGGCAATGTGCAATATTATTTTCTAATAATATTTTATGGAATATATATAAAAATCAGCCTTTAGAAAATAAGTAAAGTTAACCTTATTTATAGTTACTTTTCTCACCTGGTACCTGTGAATTGGCTCACTAACCAACTTAGCAGGTATGGAGGCATTCAATACATATATAAACACTACTTGATGCCCCACATTTTGTCCTTTAGAAAATAAGTTATGTCTGGAGGCACTGGGCTCTTACTCTATTACCACTGAGTTACATCGCCTTTTCGACTGATTACTGATTCGATACACCTTGACATAGTGTCATTTAATGTTTGGCAGTCATCTGCTGTAAAATTGTTCCAAATTTCTTGAAGACGGGTTCGCAATTCTAGAACGGTTCTTGCGGATTTGATCTCACCTTTTTTTCCCTGATATGCCACAACGTTTCAATAGGCGATAGATCTGGGCTACTGGACATCCATTTTAAAAGTGAAATATTGTTTGCTAACATCCAATCTTTTACTTTTTTAGCCGTGTGACAAGCGGCACATCTTGCTGGAAGATACATTCCATATTATTTGGGATTTTAAGTTATTTTGAAGCCCATTAACGTACTTATCAGTATTCATAGTACCTTCCATAAAGTGTAAGTTTCCCACTTCTTTAGCTGACATGGCTGGCTCCCCAAATCATTACAGAAGCCGGAAAGTTTATTTTCTTTCTAAGACAGTCATTCTGAAACACTTCTTCTTTTGTTCTTAGGACACGACTCCTACAATCAACAATGTATACTTTAAATCTGGCTTCAATCATTCCAAATAATAGAGTTCTATTGATGTGGAGATCATAACTAATATTCCCTTGCCCACGCTAGTCTATTTTTCTTCTGAAACTTTGTCAGTAAGGGCTTCTCTTTTGCATATGAATTATTGAATTAAAAACAAACCAGAAGCAAAAATTATTCAAGCATACCTTGTAAGTTTTAAATCTCAGTTTTTTTTGGCAGCTCTGTGTCAAATAGCTTGAAAAATGTTTTTATTGTTGCTTGATTTCATAATATTATTAATTTGTTATAATTAACACACCGATTTTGCTTGATAATCCTTTTTAAAGCTCTTAAGTTGGCATTGGAATTTTGCGGATAATTTCCAGTTCTCGGTTCTTGAGCAACATATCCAGTTGTTTTGTACTGTTTATTAATATTTCGAACTGTAGATCTCGATTTATAACACTGTTAGCGATTTGGAAAGAAGTTTGGCCCTTCAAATGCAAGTGAAGAGGAAGATACTTATTTTGCTTTAATCAGAATTGTTTTCTGTCAAACAGTTTCTTTAGAAATACAAAACGAAATAACGGTATACTCTTTTTAGGAACGACTTCTAATAGTGAATTTAAACAAATATTGGTTTTGTACCACATCGACTTTTTAAGTTGGCAGAACGTTACAGATAAATAACACTGCACAACAGCATTTCTGATGATTGAGTTATATTACATGACACTAGCTTCAAATCTGTAATCTAAATTTCTGTATTAGCTCTAGTTTAGAAAATATGACACATGGCCGTTTCATAGTAAAACACAATTTGTTTAAAGTTATTCATATTTTATTTAGTTCTTAAGGTGAAAAAAACTTTCTTTTATAAGACTTTCTTGCAGAGGTTGAACCCATAGAACTGTGTGTGTTCCAGTAGCCTTGATACCGTTCCTCCATCGTACGAAGGTCCTGTTGGACTCGCTCGCCCTGTTCTTCACTTAGATCCCCAATATTAACGGGAAAATAATCGAGGTGGTTGTGAAGAAAGTGCAACTTGATGCTCATGTTATATCCAAGGGTTTGAAAGTGACTTATTAGTTGTTCAACGTTGAGAATAGTTAGAACTTTTCTTATTTCCTAAAAAATTTTAAACAAGCTAAACAAACTCATTCCATCCGTTTTTCTCAATTTTTGTCATAGTGTCCGTAAATTTTGTGTCTTTTATTAATGAACCTATCTGTGGCCTATCGAAAATGCCCGCTTTTATCTTTTCTACACTCAGTTTCGAGAACTTTTTTGATAGAAATAGAAAAAAATTCCAGTTTTGTTAAGACCTTTGACAAACTGTTTTATAAGCCCTAATTTTATAGGCAAAATTATACGATCTCTTGACACTAAAGGTGGGTTTATCACGTTTTGTTGTCCTGGAACTGGATCTTTCCGAGTAGGCCAATCCTTTTTAACCCAATGTTGATTTTTAGCTCTACTATCCCACAAGCAGAGAAAACAAGGATACTTTGTGTAACCACCTTGCTGGCCTAATAGAAAGTTGACCATTTTTAAATCAACACATATGATCCAGTTATTTTCCACATATTTAATTTTGTCCAAAACCAGAGCAATAGTTGTATATTCTTCTTTTACTTTTGTAGAAAGTGCAATAGGCAACGACCCTAATTTATTCCCATTGTGTTAGAGAACACATTTTAGACTCCGTTTTGAATAAACGCCACTCACTAGAAACATAATTTTGTAATCCCATTGCAACCATCAATCCAGGTACATCTTTACAAAATATGAAATTGTCTTCTTCAGCAAAATATTTGAGGAAATTCTGTTCTCTTGTGCGGTAATAAGAAATTTTAGTTTCTTTTGTTACCAATTTTCTTTCTTTTGGCCTGAAAGCCAACATTTCTGAAGCTGACTTTGACAGTCTTAGATCTCTAATTAAGTCGTTTAAATCATCTTGATTGAATGGTTTTGGCGTTCCCAGGTCGCATTCAAAGTCACTATCACAACTGTCGTTTTTTGTCTCAAAATCTTCTAGCTCTTCCTGTGAAGTATCAGATTGAGGTTCAGGTGTAGACTTAGGCCTCAGGACACGTCTTTGTGCCGATTATGTGGAAGGATATTCCCATTTGGCTCGATTTTTCGGTTTATACCACCAAACAAAAATAACAATCGTCATGGTGGTTCATGGGTTCAGTCCAAATCATAGCGGTTTTGTACCTGAAGCTATGTCTTTTCCTATTTATCCATAAACGTAGGAACTCAACGCATGTTTTGCATACCTTTTGTGGAATCCAAGGCTTATTCTTCATTTCCAGCAGGTGCTCAAAGTAATTTTTGTAAGTCTCATTTACGAACGTTGTCACATTTAAACGGTATTCTTTAAATACATACTCTCCGCAAATGAAACAAAAATTGTTTGAATCATTCACACATACTCTTCTTGACGATGCCATATCAAATTACAAAATAAAACAAAAATTCAAACAAGAAAGATAATTTCAACATTGTCTTCCTAAACCATCCCCTAAAATAACATTTCTTAATTTCTTAAGAATTCTGAAATTGGGTTTTACCGGTCATTAAAGAGAGGTAATTTTACCTTTATAAGTATGTTCTAAGAGGATTATAAATTAATGGATTTCCAAATAAAATTAAATATGTATAATAATTCAATAATTATTATTAAATAAACTGCAAATAAACACTATAATACAGCGAATTTTTAGTGAAAGCTAAACAAGAGCTGTCAGAAAAAAAGTGGGGGTATATTTAGAATCAGCGACTTAAAATTAGTAAACATCATGTGACATAAGCCTTTCATCAATCAAAAAATGTAATTTTGTTGGCCAGTGTAACGAGTCATGATATTATTGATATTTCTAAATCTGTTGGTGCATATATAAACACATTTTAAAAACTGTTGGAAACTTTTGGTGACCTCTTGCGACCCTTATCTATTTATAAATTAAACTAAATACCTATTGAAAGTTGTTTAGAATTATCACTTTGTTATTTGGAAATAATAAAGATTTATAACTAGATTGGTTATTTTTCGTCTGGAAATAATGTGATAATGCAGCGTATAGTGATTGTTTGTTTCTTAGATTTTTGTTTTTGTTTGTCTAAATTATATTAATATAATAATTCATTGATAACTTATCGCAGCTTCAAAACTAGTTAATTACAATTCTTCTGTTTAACTGAAGAAGGGTTAAAATAATATCAATTTTTTAAATTTTATTTTTATCTAACCTAAGGGACTTGTTTTTTATGTTAATTTATCTTTTGACAAATAGAAAGAAAGACTAAAAGACTAAAATTGACTATACGTTATATTAGTGTGTAATTTGTATGACAGATAACTTTTAACAAAAACAAAGTATTCTGTCATTGAATGTGACATATACGATTTTAGTTGTTTTAAATATTGTTTGCAGTTATAAAAAAGTAGTTTAAATGTATGTAACCAAATTGTTTTTAATGATTAAGTGAATACAATCTTGAAAATAATAAAAATAAAATGGTAATGAATATTATTATTTGCCGCGTTTGAGAATCCACATCGGATGCATCTGAGATGTAGTAAATCTTTGATCACGTGATTCAGTATACGTAAATACAGTGGGACAGATCTGTCCGATGTGAATAAAAAAAACGCTCGAGATGTAAAAAATGCATCGGATGTGGATTTTTAAACGCGACAATTTTTATTACTGTCACGTCATTGTCACTGGAACATGAATTACGTCATCACTAATATAGTGTATCTATAAATAATAAATAGTTATCTACCTTTATTTTTAGAACTACCTTAGCTTACTACTATGGTCACGTGACACATATTATTCCTTATATTAGTGACACAGGAACACTCCCACCTGAAAGTTGCTTTTTTGGACAATTTTTAAATATAATATGGCTACTATGTAAGTTTTATTTTAATCTACAGTAGAGCGTCGATAATCCGGATTAATTGTTACCGGACCCCGTCCGGATTATCAAAATGTCCGAATTTTCGAAAAGAACCAAAAAAAGGTCGTCTGGATTCATAAAAAAAGAAAACTTGCTAAAATAGATAATAATTCACTTCTGTGGCTAAATAAACGAGCAAACGAGCAGATAAATAAAACAATTCATTAATTAATACGAACGTATAATGTATTTTAATGAATGAATATACATACTATGTAATGTATACTAATATATTTACAGAATACTGTACAGTTTATACATTTTGTAGCGGTTAAGGTACCATTTCGGAACGCGCAACAGACGACAGCAGAAGCGACGGCAAAGGAGACCAAAAACGGTCTCTTCATGTCTTAATACATGTAACTAACTATATGAAATACATTTCGCAAGGCGAGAAATAGAAGTCGACGACAGATAGATCGATCTTCCTGCCGCGCTGAGTCATATCGCTTGTATTTCGAGCTTATTAGTTGATATTTTATAGAAATGGTAGTTACAAAGTTCTTTCGATCTATCCTGGACAGTGTTGCCAGATGAAAATTTTCTGGAACAGTAGGTGAACGAGAAAAAAAACAGTAGATCTGAACAGAAGATTTCAATACAGGAGGAAATAATTATAAATTGCAGTGTAGTAAAAAACAAGTATATAGGAAACACAAAAAAAATTTCTACCCAAACTAGAAAGTAAACAAAGAATAAAAACAAATAATAACATTTTTAATATATACTTAACGTACGGAAACAAAAAAAAAACAATTTAAAAATAATAGGTATTTCTTTTAGATCAGTCTGAATCAGATAATTCAAATACTATATGTTTGGCATGCATGTTCTTTTTATGATGCCCTATTAATCTTTGTTGCATTTTAAATAAAAACCAAATGATTATCTTGAGTTTTTTTTATGGAGCAAAGCTATAATAGTGGCTGCTTATTACGCTGCTTTTACTTCAGCAAATTTACTAGAGAAAATATTATTTGACCATTTGCTGAAGAATGAGTCAAACTTAATAAATTAAGAACAAAAGTTTGCGAAAACAGTAAATCTACTTAAAAACAGTGGGTCTGGTAAAACTCCTTGCTTTCCAAATATGTGAAGCATAACGTAAATGCATCGGTCTCTTTTGCCGTCGCTTCTGTTGTCGTCTGTTGTCTGTCGCGCGTTCCGAAATTGTACCTTTAAGACGACCCCGCTCAGCCTGTCGCATGTCGGATCAACGCTTTTGTTTGACAAATATGTATGTATTCACTTCAACTTTTTTTTTAACCGGAATTGAATTCGGATTATCGACAGTCCGGATTTTTGACATCTGGATCATCGACGTCCTACCTTAATACTTTATGTTCATCAGTTACTATTATATTTTAAAGTGGTGCTGAGAAATCCTACACAAAACACAAACCAATTGTTTTACTATTTACAAATATTTATTGTGCATCTTTTAGTATCAGCAGCGATGTACCTCAAGTTTAAACAAGTACAGGATATTCTTTCGAAACACAATATGACTCACAAGAACAATTTGAATAAATTTACCGCTATAATAGGACTTACAGCCGCATTCGGTGTCAGCATTGTAGCAAATTTTCAAGAAACTAATATGTTCATCGTTCATTGGATAGGAGCAGTTATGGCTTTTGGAGGGGGGGCTGTTTATGTATGTTTGCAGGTAAGAGTAACAATACTATCAAGTATTATCAAAAATAGGCTTTTGCATATTCAAATCTAACTATAAAGTTGACTTTTTCCGCGATTTGCCATAATTTGAAATTATAGGCGCGCTAGAGCGCCAAAGTTACTTTAACGCATCCTTATTTTCATTTGCAATTAATAAAACAACAATATTCCCTAAATATTTAAAAGATAGTTGAAATAATAAAAATGGATTACCCCGTTTTCAACTTGTAAACTTAAGATGTCTCGTTAGTGCAGAGAGCAGCGCGTTAGTGAGACAGAGTGAAAACCAATACTAACTGTATTTTTTTTTGTTGTAGACATCTTTATATTTGACAATAGCCCCAGTGATTGGACAAATGTTTCTAACCAAAGTGAGAATTGGAGTATCTGCACTTACTGTGGTATCCTTCTTAATATATTTCATTGCAGCTATGATTTCTTATACCAAATTTAATGGTAAGTTAATAAAAAATAGATTTGTTTATTACTGTTATTGCAAACCCTATAATATTAAATTACTTACCGATATATGAAATGCATTATTCTAGAAGGCTTGCGCCCGAGACAGCGATGATAATTTTCGTCAAGGTTTGTATACTATTTTATTAAGAAGCACTTAGTTTTTACCAATAAATATAATAAATTAATAGCAAAAAACATTTTTAAAAACAATATTTTATGGGTCCGCCATATTGAATTTAGTGTGACGTCATTTTATTTATTTTTTAGTATTTTTCTCAACAAACCCTTTTAATTGATACCTTTGAATATAAAACCCCAGGAAGGAGCAATGTGCATATTTGTAATATGACAAAAGTGCGACGGAAGTGGCCATCTTGTAGGGCCAGGTATGAGTCATTACTGTCAAGTCGTTCATGACATTAGGTAGTTTTGGTGTGTTTGGCAGCCATAGGCGTCCCCAAAATATTTTTAATTTGTTTATTTCAGTTATTTTCCATTTAATTGATTTACTCTTATATTTTTTTTTTTTATATTTTATTGACAAAAGAATATGCGCCTGATGTGATTATCACGTCAAAGAAAAAAATTAATTTTTTTAATATTAATTTATTTATTTTTTTTTTTTTGGTGTGTCATCGGCTTCAACTACTAGGGTTATTTCGCCTCGTGTTCTGTGTAGGCTTTGTTACTGTTTATCAGCGCCACTTTAGGAACAGCACTGTTAATTAGAACCCAACAGTGAATGGTCGAGTGGGGAATCCTACCAAGGCATCAGAATTAATTTTAAATAATTAAATTAATTGAAAAAATTCTGGCCAACGGTGGGATTCGAACCCGGGACCCTTGGATCTACAGGCAGAGACTCTACCACTGAGCCACCCACCCCTCAATATTAATTTATTAAAGATATTTTAAATAAAATCAAGATTTTCTTTGATTTTAGCTTTCTTAAAAGTGGTCCGAATAGAGAGAAATGGATTGCAGGGCCGCCGAGAAACAGGTCAGGCCCCGGGAAATTTTTCTATGTCGGGCCCCTACAATATTACATTCCTAAAAAAAAGGTCCTCCCCTTTTGTGCTCTTATGGCTGCCGGGACCCCACTTGAGCCCGGGTTCCGGGAATTAGTCCCGGCTAACCCTCCCCCCTCTTGTTGGCCCTGATGGATTGACTTTGTAAACAAACCAGGATGGATGCCATAGCTAGTAATGTTTTATGTTTACAACATTTTAGTGAATAATGTTTTGATCGAACATCCCTGGTAACAGTGAGATTGTTTCCAGCTTCTATTCCAACAATAAGATTGAATCGTTTAAAATTTGTAAGTATTTAGGCGTAAGATTTAATTGTATTAAAAATACACAAAAAAACTTACCTATGTAAAATTGGACTTTATATCTAATTAAATGTTTATTTTAACTTGTAGGTGAGGACATTTAACCCAGGTCACACAAAAACTGTAAAGAATGTGGATAAAAATATATTTTCAGTTCTTAAAAATAGTTATCAATGTACCCCAGCTGTACCAGGTCCATCTAAATATAGTGATACCCTGGCGATGATTCCCACATCCATTCGGTTACGTACTCCTTCACCCTTCACCCTCTCCATGCAAGTCATCTACATGTGAGACAACTGTAGATAAATCCCGCGAAAGAATTTTAAAAAGGAAGATTTGTGAATTGCAGCATAATGATATTATAAAAAACGTTAAAATTAGAAAATTGCAAAAGAAAATTTGGCGACAAAAAAACAAATTTTATCTTTAAAGTGCATATTAACAGAGTTAAACAAAAATAATTTAATGTTGCAAGAACAAGAAGAAATTTTATTGCAACATTTTGGAGGAAACACCGAAATTATTAAAAGACTTTTTCAAAAAAGTAGGTAAAAAGTTTAACCATTCAAGATCCTTTGCAGTAACATTGCATTTATTCTCTCCAAAAGCATATAACTTTGTTACAACTAAATTTAACAACTGCTTGCCTTATCCTAAAACTTTGGGTAAATGGTACTATTCAGTTGATGCCCAGCCAGGATTTACTACGGAAGCATTTGAGTTCTTAAAATTAAAAGTAAAGCATTCCAGTAAAACTTTGTATTGTTCGCTTGTGTTTGACGAAATTTCAATTAGAAATCATTTGGAATTTATTTATTTCATAAAGTGGTCTAAAATATTAAATAAAGATACTTATCTCCTGAGTTATTTTTTTTTCTTATTTTATTAACACACTTTACATATATTACATATATAAAGAATGAGGTAAGCAGAATTATTGATAGAAAATGGGGTCTATTCTGTAACAATTCCTTTATATTTAACGGCCTTTAAAAATATTTTCTTCTTTACTTCCGTCATTATTTAAACGGATCTTTAAAATACATTAGAGGACTATCTTAAAGAAATCTGTTTAAATAATGACAGAAGTAAATTAACGAATACAAACATATTTTTAAAGGTCGCCAATATTTTTAAAGGCCGTTAAATATAAAGGAATTGTTACAGAATAGACCCCAATGACTTCTTCATAAAATCAATAATAAAGTTATTCCCCCAACTCCATTCAGGGACACTTTATATGTATATAAATTAGATAATCGTTTATTAAGTAATGCATTAATGTAAAAATTAAAAACTTTTGGAGGTTATTATTGTTTTTAAAATTAAATAAAATGGACTGTCAAAAAACGAAATACCCTTTCCATTTAGGTTCAATTCCAAACTACATTTTAATATCTAGAAAATAATTAAAAAAATGAAATTTCTACTACGAATTTCAAAATATATTTGCTCAATTTTTTAATATTTTATTAGTAAAATAGTTTTTATTTTTATTCTTTTAATTTGGAAAAAAATAAGTACAAATAAACATAAACGTTTATCCTATTAAGATGTGTTTGTCTTTAATTTTGAATAATTATCGCACGCCTCTGTCAAAGCGGAAATGATTGTCCGCCATATTGAAGGGCCAACTCGTCAACTATTACTTTTAAATTAGCTCCTTCCTGTGGTTTTATATTCAAAGATTGATACCCATTATAGGGGTTCATAAAAATAACTAGTCATCTTTTGGAGTCCGCCATATTAGATTTAGAATGCTGTCACTTAGTTAACTATGCAATTTCATCCATACTAAACGTACATGCAAAATTTCAGCTCAATCGGTTGGGGATAACGTTTTAAATTTCAGTTGCAAGATTTGATCTAAACAAAACATACAAACTTTGCAAGTTATTAATAAAAAAAATAATAATAATAAGAAACTTGCAATAATAAAAATATGCCTATAGCCAGTTGCAAAATAATGTTTATGAGCTAGATAATACATTTCTCTTTATATTTCAAATAAAAAGTAATTCATTTGAAATTTGATGGAAATCATTATATGATTTTTCCTTGCTGTTTTGTGGCTTGTTTTTCAAAAAATCCGATATTATAAAAAAACTAGAACATAGTTCAAAAATAAAAACATAAACACCACTAAATAAGAATAAAATATTGTATTTAAAAAAAAACTAATATTAGACCCCAAGTAGAATATTTTCTCTCAACTCATTTTTTTCATTCCGTGACGTCACTGCGTCCTTAGTACAGTTCATCAAATTTCTAGAGGTGTTCGACGCCCAGACAGAGAACGCGCTACGTGTGACTAAGATAGCTATTGTACAGTCTGCTAAACAAGTTATTTTAAATAGTTTTTAATATTTTTAGGTAATTAAATTTTAAAAGTGTGGAATAGTTTAGGGATTAAATTGGTCTGATTGGACTTTCTTAGAACGTTTTTAAAAGCAGATGAAGATAGTATGTAGAATTGAAAATAATTATTATGCCATAAAAGGTGTTTTGGAATTCCTTCAACCTTTTGAAATTGAGTCAGAAAATATAAATTTTATAGGATAGCGGAAAATACCTATAATTTTTTTGTAGGCCTTTGTAAATCGTGGAAATAGTTTATATTTTATTTCTACCTTATTAAGGAAAATGGTACCTATTATTAATAACGGTTGTTTCTGAAACATTACTAAAATTTTCGAAATTTTGTTTTTCTACAAAATAATAAACTATACTATTTAGAAAAAAATTTATTTCTCTTATAATTTTATAAAAAATAACAGGGGAATATTTACATTTCTTGATCTATTAAACAAAACGAAATTATCTCGACGAATGACACCATGTTCTAGTACGGAAGCTAGCTTTACATTTTTGTTGGTGGTTTCATGGGTTTCATATCAATTTTTTGTAATTGTAGTTTACACGTACATATACCTCTTAACACTTGTTTGCTTTATTAAAAAAGTGTGTTGTTGTGATTTACGTCGAAATAAGTCAAAAACAACTTGAAACCCCATATAAAATCAAAAAGGAGAAACGGAAAAAAATTGAGCCTGTAAATGAACACAACTCAGAAACAAAAATAGCTATCTAATAATAAAAAAATAAAATTTGATTCTTGTGCAGCTTCATCTATATCATTAACTGTTTTTGGTTTTTTAATGGTTTTTCTTGGTGATGAAAATTCCGATATCTCACGGTTATCGATTCTTTTTTTCTCTCCAGAAATGCGGACGACAGTGTTTTTAGATACTCCTGTGGCTGCAGCAACACGATCATTTACATTTTTAAATGGTATTGAAGGTGAATTAAAGTTTCCTTCTCTTCTCATAAACTCTATAACATTGGCTATTATTTCGTGAGATTGACTGTTAATCACGCGGCCTCTTAATTTGCTATTAAACTCCATACTTAGGTTCTATTAAACTGTAATGAGCAAAAAACACAAACGAAAATAAAAGAAATGTTTTAGCGAAATTTACATCTGACATTTACGTCTGAATGAAATAGTGAAATACTTGATGCGCAGAGTGTACTTTCATTGCGTAAATCCGTCGGGATGCCTGTCAGTAGTGCTTTCTCTGTCTAGCCGTCGAAAGCCTCTAGAAATTTGATGAACTACAACCGTGATAAGACCACCGTTTCAGTCTATGTGACAAACCGTGAGTGGAGCAAATCAGTTTTAATGAAAATAAATATATATATATATATATATATATATATATATATAAAGTAGCTCTATTTAAATGACATAAACATATTTTTATTCCGCCAAACTTCCAATATAAAATTATTGACTTCAAACTTCAAATAATTCAAAGTAAGTCGCCATTTTGATTACACTTTTCCGTCAGTCAATACGTCAATACTTCATTCTATCTCGATGTATTTCGAATAAAAATAACGTCCAAGATGGAAGGCTATATCGCAACCCCCTTAGATATACGAGCCCTTCCCACTGGCATCAGATATTTTTTTGACATGTCCTTGAAATGCATAAGATAGTTAATTATCTTTGACCTGTGAATTTAAAAAAGAATAAGAAGAAAAATAGCCAATTAGACATAAAACATGACCAACCGTATGGGATATGAAATACTAAAGAAGCACAGTTTTGTGAAAAACTTCAAAACCACAGAGCTGGGCTGCAAGAAAGAATGGAGCAAAGAATCCATCGCACTTGCAACCGAAAGACGTGCTATTCAGTGGTATACGGGCGGTTCCAAAACCATAGAAGGAACTGGAATAGGAGTGTATGGGCCGAGAACCAAGCACTCCGAAAGCTTGGGGAAATACCCAAGTATCTTTCAGGCGGAAATTCACGCCATCGAGAAGTGTATCCAGTTCAACATCGAGAGAAACTATCATAGACAAGAGATTATCATCATGTCCGATAGTCAAGCAGCCATCAAAGCGCTGAGCTCTTACGTAATCAGCACAAAAATGGTCTGGAGATGCCTAGAACAATTGAATGAGCTAGGTGAGAAAAATAGAGTTACTCTCACTTGGGTCCCGGGACATAATGAGGTACAGGGTAACGAGATTGCAGATATTCTTGCAAGGAAAGGGGTTCAAACACCATTTGTAAGACCTGAGCCGTTCTGCGGTATCAGCAGTAACATAATATTAGGAGAGATTAAAAAAGAATTGGGCGGTAGGAGAACCGATAATTGGAACAATCTCTTGGGGCTGAGACAGGCCAAGATACTTATGGGTGAATATAACCAGAAAAGATCGGAAGCCCAACTTGAAGCCACTTCAAATCCTACCCTTCCTTGAGAAAATAGGATTCGAAGGGTCGTTATAGGCATTGAGACATTTCCTTGGTGCATTGGCTACAGAAGGGGACACAATAGATCTTTTAGGTCGCAGTGTATTAATATCCCATTCCCAACATAACATAACCGTATGAGATGAATTATATACGAAAAATTCAACAAATGGATCTCTCGGTTCGGGATGATACTTTCTCTATATAACAGAGTATTGGTTCTCGCCTACGGGTGAAAACTGATATTTGATTGTCAGTTTCCATTCCACCCGTAGGTTAGGTTAGGTTGAAAATTAGTATGATGATCTCATCGCCTTCCTCTGTGACTCGCAATAGTCTATGCTTTCCAACTTTAACTAATTTTTTAATTGAGTTATTACACATTGTGAATAAACAATATTAGATTTATAGGTACCAACTGTTTTTTTTTTGTTTTAGGCCAGAATTACTTATCATGGACAAAAGAAGATGGTGGCTTCGAGTGGCACAACACGAGCACAATCACAGAATGGATTTGTTCAATTTCAATAATGGTATACATAATGTTGATGGGCGATGAATTCAAGACATTAACCGTTTATGAACCAGAAATCGATGTGGGTCTCAATCAGCGCAGTAGCAGCTAATAATCTAGAGCATGATTTTTAAGGCTTTGAACGCTTTTAAAATAGGTACATGAATATACATTATACAACAAATAAAATATTCAGTCCATTAATATAAATACAATAAATTAAAATAAACTGTTTGTTGACCTTCCAATTTGTGAAATTAATCTAAATTGTGTAGAGGTTAAGGAGAACTACCTATCTCTCAAAATGTATAAAATTAAGATGGCGCTATTGATGTTTTCCAGTGGATACTGTTATTTTATCTACTATTTCGGAAAAAGAAAACTTGAATGACTTTTCGTAATACTTTAATCAAAAAATTATTATCAATCAATACCAGAACAAAAGCAAAATACAAATCAAAGTAATAGTCTGTAGATAATAAGGGTATGTAAATGTAGATACATCAACACCTTCCCTCATTGAATAATTTATTATCTTCTATTATTAGGCCAATGTTCTTCATTAAATATTCGAGCCTGGGTCTTGAAAGAGGTTTTGTCAGCATATCAGCTAACTGATGTTCTGAATCAACCTTTTCTACGTTAATGGAGCCTTCGGTTACCAATTCTCGAACAAAAAAATGTCTTGTTTGGATATGTTTTGTTCTTCTATGATATTCCGGATTTTTTGCTAACTTAATAGCTGCTTCATTATCAACTAGTAGATCCGGAATACACTGCAGATCAATTATCTCGGTTTTAGCCAAATTTGTTCTCGGGCTCCTTCGCTGGCGGCTACTATTTCTGCCTCTATTGTAGAAAGAGCTACAGATGTCTGCTTTTGGCTTAGCCAGGAGATAGCACCATTGGCATACTTGCAGACAACACCCGTAGTTGACTTTCCTGTTTGATCATCTCCTCCATAGTCGGCATCACTGTACCCTTGTAGGTATCTCTTCTTACTATTAGCTGTGTACGTAATTCCAAGTTCCATTGTACCTTTAAGATATCTAAATATCCTCTTCACTTGCATCCAGTCACTGTGAGTTGGTTTTTCTAGTGTTCTTGATACAATTCCGATAGCATACGCTATATCTGGCCTAGTTCCTACCATAAGGTACATTAGGGCTCCAACCGCTTGCCTATAAGGAAATTTTTCTTCTTCATTTTGATCTACCTTCCCTGGTTGGTTAGTTCCTTTGACAATTGGTATAGACACAGCTTTACAGTTTTGCATTCCAAAGTGCTCTAAAATTTTCTTTATGTAAGCTGTCTGACTGACACGAATAGAACCATTTTTGTCAGTGTCAATTTCTAACCCCAAAAGGGGCGTTTGATTTGAAACTCGATCGAGCGAGCGTCGAGGAGACCGAGAAGTGATGACGTCACAATAGAGCATTGAATCAAATCAAATAAAACAGAGTAAAAAACATAACCTCGCTTTTCTGTGATTCTTGTTTCTGGTTTGTATGTTAAAATAGTGAGCAAAAAGTAAAGAAAATGGAAAAACTTTTAATAATAAGGGGTAATGGCCCTGATGTGCAGCATTTACCACAAATGCCCACTTCGCTCTCATACTCCATGACTGTGATTACTGGTGATTAGATCTGGACAGAAAAAATGTATTTTTCAAACACACATTTTGTGTTTTTCATGACGAATGATTTTAGCTATAAGACAAAAGCGGCTAAGTAATTTGTTGACTTCTTGCCTGGTCTTTAATTTTGATATTCAAATTTGTTTGTAAGTTAATTAGAAAGAGATAGGTAGAGACAAAGACAAATTTCTCCCTCTTCTCGATCCTTCTGCTCGCTCTATGTTCTCGCTCCAAAGCAAAACAAACACTTTAGGGATATCTCGAAGTGTCAATTCAAACACGTTTGCAGCGCTCGGAGATCTCCGATGATCAAATCAAACGCACCATAAAAATAGGAAGCTGTCTTCGCTGTAATTTTGAATTCTTTCTCCAAATTCATATAAAATTTCTTTTCCAAAATTTTATTACTGGTTGCCAGAAGTCCGTCATCAACATATAGACCTAAGAGAAGAATATATGTCCCCTCTTTTTTGATAAACAAGCATGGATCGGCATCAGATTGCTTAAAATGTTGTTTTAGAAGGAAGTCTACGATTCTCTTATTCCAACATCTTGGTGCCTGCTTGAGTCCATAAAGGCTGCGTTGAAGGCGACTACTTTACTTGTTCCATCTTGATATCCCTCCGGCTGTTTCATGTACACTTCTTCTTCTAAGTGTCCATAGAGAAATGCGGTGGAGACATCAAACTGACTTAGGCTCATTTGTTCACTCGCAGCAATACTTAGAAGAGCTCTTATAGTCCCCGATTTAGCAACAGGACTGAATGTTTGATCGTATTCTTCGCCGTATTTCTGAGAGAATCCTTTTATCACCAATCGGGCTTTTAATTTTTCGACAGAACCATTCGGGTTTGTTTTACTTTTGTAGACCCATTTACAGGGAATGGCTTTTTTTCCTGAGGCAGATTTTGCAGAACCCAAGTGCCATTTTCTGACAAGGAGCTTATCTCTTTGTCCATTGCATCTTTCCACTTATGACTAAAATCGCTTTGTATAGCTTCTTGAAAGTTTTGTGGTGGTTCTTTGTATTCTACAAATGTTGCATAGGCCTCCATTACAAAATTTTCAAACCTGGTTGGTGGTTTTATCTCTTCACGCTTCCTCAACTGTCTTTTTTCAATCAAAGGTCTTTGTTCTGAACTTTCTACGTCTATATCGTCTTCCTCTATTTCTTCGGTGCTTAATGTAATTGAGTTTAATTGTTCATCTTCAACACCTTCAATTTCTGTTTCACTTCGGATCTTCGAGAATTCATTAAATCCGACTAAAGGTTGTTCTTCGAAGATGACATCTCTTGATCTTATGAGTTACTTAGTTTCTTTACACCATACGCGATATCCATCATCGTTGTCATAGCCGAGCAATATGCCTTTTACAGCTTTATTGTCCATTTTCTTACGACGTGGTTTTGGTATATGCGCATAGCAGGTACACCCTATAACTCTTAAGTGCTTCAGGTTCGGTTTCTTTTTCATCCAAACTTCAAAGGGAGATTCGTTACTTTTACTAGATACACCTGATCTGTTTAGGATATATGCGGCAGTATTTATCATTTCAGCCCAAAGAAATTGTGGTATGTTATCTCTAGCGTGCATAAGAGCCCTTGCTGTCTCTACAACAGTGCGGTTTTCTCTTTCAGAATACCCATTTTGCTCAGGTGTATAGGGCATGACTAACCTTTGCTTGATTCCATTCTGCTGTAAGACATCTCGAACTTCTCTGCTGGTAAATTCACCTCCGTTATCGCAGAGCATTTCTTTGACTATGTGTCCTCGGACTTTGGCTTCAGCTAACATTATTTTAAGTTTGTCAACAACTTCAGATTTTTCTTTCATGAAGTAGATGTATCTAAATATACTGAAGTCGTCTTTGAAAAGCACAAAATATCGATTTCCAGACTTCTATTCAATGAATGAATAAGTTCACCAGCTGTCTGGATCATTTTCTATACTTAAAACTTCAGAACTAAGTGCTACTAGTGTTAAATTTATGTCCTTGTCTTGATCCCTTCTATTGCTATTGTTTGTCTGGGGCTTTGGAGGACGTCCGTCGCTTTCCATTTGGTACATTGACGAACTCTATGACCAGCTTGCTTGCAATAGTGGCAAATCAGATTCTTCTTAGGCTTAAACTTTTTGTTGACTTTACTTCTTTCTATAGCTAGAACTTCTTCGGTTTTGCTATCGCTTTTGTTACATAATGCTTTTTCGTAGGCACATAACTGATTTGTGAGATTGTCTACAGATCTCTCGGATTTCGCCATCAGTAGCCAGCTAGACTTAAAGGAGAAATATTCTTCAGGTAATGTACCAAGTATTTTGCAAATAAGTAACAATTCGGGTAAATCACATGTACACTGATTCTGTAGCGTTAATTTATCTTTAGCGATCTCTTGTTGAAGTTCTTTCCACAGGTTTTTTTAACTTAGATGTGTGAGTAGCTATATCATCGCTCTGTTGTCTTTTATAACTGAAGAATTCTGTACACAAATCGTAAGTTTTGTCTTCTGTTTTACCGAAGAACAACCTATGCAGCTCTAACCACACTTCTCGTGCTGTATTAAACCTCATAATTTTTTGAAGAGTATCTTCTGTCATACTTGAATGACTTTTTGTAATACTTTAATCAAAAAATTATCAATCAATATTGGAAAAAACCTTAACTACCAGAACAAAAGCAAAATACAAATCAAAGTAATAGTCTGTAGATAATAAGGGTATGTAAATGTAGATACATCAACAGGCGCATCTGTACAAAAGGGACGCCGACAGTCGATAATTCAGATGACATAATTTCACCAATGATGTATATAGTTATATATTGCTCATCCATGTGTAATTTCTTACCTTATCCACCCTTTTCTGTATTGGAATTAAAAGGTAATTTGGATTGTAATTAAAATAATCTGTATCGTGAAGAATATTACGATACAGATTTTATGTAGGCATTTATTAAGTACCTAAAATGATAGAAAAAAGAATATATATCATTATGGGAAATTTTTAACAATAGTAAAAATATTTTTGCTTAATAAATTATACCGTTTTAAGCAGTATGGTGTACACATTTATTTTAACCCAATGCTGAACTCGAATAGAACATTGATGAATTTTGGAGGGATAAAGACCTCTTTTTTTTAGCTACCCAAAGATAAAAATACAAAAACAGAGAAGTCATGTAGAGGACCACTTTTTTTTTAGGTCCTCAAAGATAAATACAATTACAGAGAAGTCATGTATTACGTTTTGTCTTATTTGTTACGCTTCAGTAAATTATGTATTACAATGCTGGACAATAATTGCGTTCTGCTGGACAAATACAATTGCTGCACAAAATCAAATACTGGATAGACTATGTACAATACAGCTAAATACTGTACATATGGTCACCCTAGTGTATATGTCAGAAAAAGAAAATCAATTGATACGCGATTTAATGTAAAAAATACGCAATTTAGATTACAACTAACAAAAAGAAATTGTAAAAACTTACTACAGTTGTGGGTTTTTCAAAATAGAAGTCCCTAAACAAAAATAATAAACAAAACTTATTTTTTTCTTTGTGCTGGAAAGTAATCTTGCTTCATTTTTCTATTTGAGTTCGATGACTTGTTTTACTCACTTTTGCGCATCCCCTGACAATGCCATTCGCAAAACTGCTTTACTGGTTGCCTGCGTGCAATAATGCCTTTTAGTGGCGCCTCGCTTTTCGTCGTCTGATTTACATATGAATGAGCAATCTATATGACTATATATCATTGGATTTTTCCCTTCAAGTACACCAGCGCCATCTTAATTTTATACATTTTGCAGGACATTTTTTGAGACCGCGCCCCTGAGACCTTAAAATAGCTAGAGCAGCTCTTCGCTTCAGTAAGAGATATTATTCACGGTGCAATTGGTCTTTGAGACCTGTGTAGCGCCGCATGCGGCTAGGACAAACTCATCGTGAATGGGGACCATTTATCATCTAAAAAACAAAATATTGTTTTTTAAAATACAATAGGATTGATACAAAGATGCCGAATAAATATTTCAAGTAGTTAAAATACAACTATACCAAATTAATTTTAACCACCAGATTTTTTATTTTGCACTTTTTTTAAGTAGACCTAATTTTCTTTTTCGTTTTCTTCGTCTTCTCCAATTTCTTTTGGCCCTTCTTCTTTTTCTAAGTTTGTATCAGTGAAAGTATAGGTTTCAATGGTAACTTTTGAACTTCACTACCGCGTTGCTTCCATATAAGACATAAGAAGATATTAAAGGATCTTAAGTATATAGTAGAGTGTTTTTTAAATCTGTCAGTGTTTTCTTTTTGAGAATTTTCGAAAGATGGCCATCAAATTTTACGCTATATTCCAGATGGTCCTGCCCCGGCTTTAGGTTTAACCTTTATTCAGTAAAAGTTTTCGTCCTTTAAATGTATTTGTGAGTGTGAGGTTAGTGGGAAGAGGACGTGCTAAAAGAAAACATTAACTTCTTCATTTGTCGACTTTCGACGTTTATTTTTCGTCTTTTTGAAGGCTGAAAATACATAATAGGTATTAATAAAAAATTGTAAAAACTATGAGATTTACATAGGTGTCAATATTATAAATGGTACATAGGTATATATACAATGTAAATGGTTATTGTTATTTCAATAAAACAATCATTGTCAGCATGAGAGAATTAACAAATCAATGTAAACATAAAAACAAGAAGAAATAAAAAACTAAAAACCTCACCTTATTAAATTAGTTAAGGTAGGTATAGGTAATATTTTAACGGCTTACTGTTTTAGTCCGATTCAATTTTGGACTTGTATATATTGAGTAGGTTACGATGGCAAATACTTAAATTGGCCGTATCCGTTTCTAAATTTACTGCGTTTAGAGATATGTGTATCATTTCACTAATTGTTCTTTTGTAAAAGTTGGATTCTATTTTTAAGATGTTGTTTTGTAATACCAATGTAGCATTTTTCACAGCCTTCACAGTTAATTGTCTACACTACAACCCTTTGTAATTTCAAAACATCTTTTAATTTTCTGGAACAGTCCCTTTATAAATGGAAATCGAAAATACACTTTCTTTTCTTGGATTTCACTCAACTGTTTTGATTGCAAATCAGTTTTGTATTCATCGATTACTCTGTTTATAAGACTCAATGAGTAGCTATTATTATTCCTAATTTTTCTTCATTTGCTGTGTAGAATTCTGGGCTACTCAGATGATAAGACCTGAATAGTAAATTTTTAATTGTACCTATTTTATGTTGCATTGGATGGTTTGAGAAATCCTCCCTGAATTGGTGGGTTTGTTAAACCAATTCGTTCTTAGTTTCCCATCATTTTGTCTTATAACAAGAGTGTCCAAGAAGGAAATAGTATTTTCTTTTTCCATTTCTACTGTAAATTTAATTCTCTGATGATAGGAATTAAATACACGTAATACTTCATTTATTTTGTTATGTGGAACACCTAAAATCGTGTCATCCACATACACTTTTAAAAATGCAACCTGAAACGTTAGTGTTGATAAACTTTCTTAAATTAATTAATTCATTATTAAATTAGCTAATGTGGGAAATCCAGCAAGTCCTACATTAGCCCGATCAATTAAAATCCAATGTAGTGTACAAAATAACTGTGAAGGCTGTGAAAAATGCTACATTGGTATTACAAAACAATATCATAAAAACAGAATATACCAATACAAATATGACTGTCGGGAAATAAATGAAAATAAGGTAGAAAAGACCGCATTAGCTTTACATCATTTTAATCAATCGCCCAAATTTGACTTTGACAACGTTAAAATTGTTGATAGAGAATCCAACTTTTACAAAAGAACAATTAGTGAAATGATACACATATCTCTAAACGACACAGTAAATTTAAGAATAGATACGGCCAATTTAAGTATTTGCTATCGTAACCTACTCAATATATTAAATTGAACCGGACTAAAACAATAAGCCGTTAAAATACTAACTATACCTACCCTACTATTAAATAAAAAACATACAATTGAATTTCTTCGTCCATCTACAATAATTTTAACTGCCACAATATTTTGATTAATTTTATCATCATTTTGAGATATCTGTGTGTAAATGTTCCACATATGCCATGCGCCTTGCATTAATTAATTTAATAAGGTAAGGTTTTTAGTTTTTATTTCTCCTTGTTTTTATGTTTATATTGATTTGTTAATTTTCTCATGCTAACAATGATTGTTTTATTGAAATAACAATAACCATTTACGTTGTATATATACCTATGTACCATTTATAATATGTAAATCTCATGGTTTTTACAATTTTTTATTAAAACCTATTAAGTATTTTCAGCCTTGAAAAAGACGAAAAACAAACGTCGAAACGTCGGCAAATTAAGAAGTTAATGTTTCCTTTTGGCACGTCCTTTTCCCACTAACTTCACACTCACAAATTTAGGTATAGCTTTAACATTAATGAGAAAAATAAATGTCAAAATCTCATCAACGATGACCACAGTTGAGAGGTTGGATTCCCTTCTGAGTTTTTTCAATCTAATGTTTGCATAATAACTAATTTTGATTCATTTTATTGTTAAAATTCTTTGCTTGGTATGTGATATGGCCGTTTTTACCTTTATCTTCTTCTTTTATATCCCGTTTACCCCAAACATAGGCTTTTTTCTTCTAATGTAACAATAAGTAATTCTTTGAAAATGAAGGTATCGAATTTTATGTTTTTGCACAGTGTACCACGTGGGCACTCTCAAAATGCAACTAAAAAATTTGTAAAAACCAATTTTAGTGTGCCGAGTTAGATATACCTCACAATTAGATACGCTTATTATTTGCCAAAAGCTTATGCTCGTACATAAGTGCTTCTTAATCTTATATTTTTTCTTTTATCTTTAGTTTCAGGTGAGTGGGGAAACAGTATTAATGACTAAAAAGAAGTGAACGAAAAAGAAGGTATTTTCAACCATTTCCTGTTTTTGCAAATCATTCCAGAATATTTTTATTTATTTTGACTGATGTACGATATTTAAGATAGTTTTTTGTAAAAATATAAATTTAATGTTAATTTAAAATATATTTAGATAATATATTATCTAAAGCTATTTTTAACTCAATTTAAGTACACATGAATGAAAATGAAAAGGACAAATAATTTGTAAAATAAAATACCTTAAATTTGAAAAAAATTAAAATATAATGTAGAACTAATTGTTTAAAGTATTTTGCAAGATTCGTAAACATATCTTCGGTAAATGTTTATTTTTAAAATGTCAAGTGTTGTATTAATGATTATATATTATTATTAAATTAATGTAAATTAAATGTTTATTATTTTAGTACAAGTTCTTAGCGCACTAATGAATACAAATTATGTTTAATTATTATTATATGGAGGGTGTAAAGTCAGTATTTTACGCAATATAATAGAAAAATATAATTCACTAGTTGCTTGTTTTTATAGCTAAACTTGGATAACCTAGAAACAAATTACCACCTGAGCTAAGTTGTAAAATAAACGCCATGGTAGATATATTTAAGTTTTCGTTTCGCTAATCACCCAATTTTGGCGATTGCCTTATCGCCATTGTACAGGGTTATTAATTATAAATTAGCTACACGCCCTTTATCATCGTTAATATCAGATATACTACAAAATGTTTTAATCAAAAGTTGTATGCCTACGACTGAATGTTGTTAAATTTTCATCAAAAACACAGTTGCGTGCAGATTTCAGGGGATTCAACAAAAAAGTAATAATTATTTAAATGGAATTCCTGATTTCAAAACCATGCCATATACAGGGTGTTATTGAAATACACGTACATATTAAAACTGGGTATTGCGCAGATCCCCACTGAATGTAGAAAAATATTATTTTTTAAAAATACCCCTTATTAAGGGAGTTATTAATTTTTGAAAATTAATTCTAAAACAAACGTACTTCACTGATATGTTGAGGATGACCTATATAAATTAGGTTTATTTACCTATTTTAAACATCAACAGTAATTAATATGCAAGTTTTTGTCAGATGATAAGAAAACTAGTCTTGTAAGAAATAACCATGTTGCCAAGATTTTCGAATTAATTTCTATTTCCGAAGACTGGTTTTTACTACCCTCGTTATCAAAAAACTAGAATATTTGATAAATGATTGTTTTTAAACTATACATTTTTGAAACTATAGATTATTAAAATTTTAGTTGATTTACGAATCTGGCTAACACGAGCGCGTCATTTCCAAGTTGGTAAAAAGTGTTGTTACGATTACTTTTAAATATTTTTTTACGATGCCACTATTTACGAATATTGAACTAACGGATATAGTGCTGGTTTATGGGGCAGCTGGAGAAAATTCTCGGCAAGCACAAATCCTGTATCGCGAACGGTTTCCAAATCGGAGAATTCCGGACTGTCGTACGTTTATTTCAACTGTTCAGCATCTAAGAGACCATGGAAAATTTAAGAGTGGCAATGCAGATCGAGGGAGAACAAGAACACAAAGAACATTGGCTGCCGAAGAAGAAATATTGGAAGCTGTTGAAAACCGGCCTCAATTAAGTTGTAGAAGACTAGGTCTTGAAATTGGAGTGTCCTCATTTGTTGTGTGGCGGACACTTAAAGAACAAGGTTTACATCCTTATCACATCCAAAAAGTCCAGGCCTTATATCCAGGTGATGAAGAAAAGAGAGTGGAGTTTAGTGAATGGATGATTCAAAAATGTGTTGATATTCCTGATTTTCTAAAAATATTATTGTATACTGACGAGGCTTCATTTACTCGTGATGGCGTGTTCAATATGCACAATACGCATATTTGGAGTGATGAAAATCCTCACGCCATTAGGGAAACTGGGCATCAAAGAAAATTTTCAATGTTTGGGCTGGCATAATAGATCAGTATTTAATCGGGCCTTATGTTCTCCCGAACAGATTAAATGGGCCAGGATATCTCCACTTTTTAGAAGATATTTTGCCAGTACTCCTAGAAGAGATACCGTTACAATTAAGGCAACGGATGTGGTACTTACTAGATGGCGCTCCTCCTCACTTTGATTTAAACGTACGGCAGTTTTTGAACATTAGATTTCCTCAAAAGTGGATAGGCAGAAATGGACCTACTAAGTGGCCTCCGAGATCTCCGGACTTAAATCCATGCGATTTCTTTTTGTGGGTTCACATAAAACAACTGGTTTATAATGAACCTATTAATAGTGTTGAACAATTAACCAATAAAGTTAATGCGGTAGCCGAGGAACTACGACAAAATCCAAGACTAATTTCTAATGTTCAAAGTTCTTTGGAAAGACGATTGCAAGTGTGTGTAAATAATAATGGACGGCATTTTGAACAATTACTGTAATAAACTTTATTTTGAATTAATTGGTTTTGCTACGGCAACAGTGCAATTTCTATGGGTAAGTTCAATTTCGATTTATTTTACTTCTTTAAATATGGAAACTAGTAGGTCGGAAAAGGGGACTCTTCCCCAATATTTAAATTTTAGAATTTGAAGTTAAAATTGGTGCCAATAGTTTTTGGTCATTACATAATATTCCCCATTTTAATATGTACGTGTATTTCAATAACACCCTGTATATGGATAAGTTAGCATTATTAAAATTATGAAAATGTCAAGTATTATGTTTCATAAGTGACATTTCTTTAATAAAATAATCAAAGATATTTGTCGGTTAATTATTTGAAAACGGTAGTAGATACGAGTAACATGGTATATTTTTGAAATCAAGAAAAAATTAAGTTGTTATTGTATCCCGTAAAATCTGCACGCCACTGTATTTTTGATAGTATTTTAAGAACACTTGGTCACAACCACACTTTTCTTGTATATGCAATAATATTAATAATTTTATTGACGAGTGGGTTATTTATATCGGATAACTCTACCTCTCTTATTTTCATAATGGTAGAACAATTTTAGGCTTTTTCTGGTTTCCAGATGTGTACTTTGTGAGGTACTTTTTTTAATCTTAAATTTTATATATTTAAGATTATACATACACTGGTTCTGCTTTAAAATCTCAAGTTACATGAAGGGAAATTTGAAAAGGATTTAGATAAAATGTTTAACTAATAAATGAATAATTTCACAGAGACTAAAATTAATATGAAAAGGAAAAATCTTATTTAAGAGGAAACCGGAGCTCCCGTGATAAACAAAATTCAGCTCTACCTGCCTTACCCTCTACGTCTCGTTCCGCACTGGCAGCCCAAAAGCGAATTTATTTCCTCTGTAATAATAGACGTATGTTATTTCAGTTACAAATAGGATAAGTAAGAGAACTAAACCCAACGTATGTCTGTAGCTTGCATCGCTTGGCTGAGTGCATATTCATAGGCGCAACATATTTTCTTGCCGTGTAACTATTCATTAAACATTTTTTGTTAAACCAAAAAAATCATATTGTATTTTTGTATTATATATATTATATTTCTTAAGTACCTACTACTACAAAATACCCTTTTAGGGAGAACAAATACTCATTAAGGGATTAACTGATTTTTTTTCAATCAGAAAAGAAAAAAGTATGGGTATGTTATGTTAGGTTCATATTGGACCTAAGATATTCTGAAAGAATCAAAATTAAACAAAAAAGTGAACTAAAATCCACCGCCTACAATATACCGATATATAATAATGAGCAGTACCTTTCTCTCTGCGTTTTTCAAGAACTTGAGACCTTCCAGCAATAAAAGTTTATTTTCTTTGTTTTTTTTTTTATTTATAGCTTATAACTTATACATACCAAAGTCAAAAAATATATATACCTATTTGTACAATAAATAAATTATTTTATTAGGCTCATTTTTTTTATAATAAAATAAAAAGTACAATTGTACAAAACTAATATTTTGTTTGGTTACTAATTAGTTCGTTTCGTTGATTGTCTTTTATTGGCAATCCTCTTGGAAATTTCGGATCGACTAATTCCGAAAGCAAGCAGTTGTAAAAAAATATTTGTAATTTATTTATCATATGGTTCTTCCAAAAGTGTTTGTCTTTTGCAATCTGAAATAAATAAACAATGACCTATGTAATTATTCGTTTAATTTTTATATTATAGAGTACATTTTCTATCAGCAGTCCTTTTTGACTCCATATTATGAAATAACATATTTCTTTATTTGCTACCTCAAACTGCCCTTGGACTTGATAGTAATACATATGATTCCTGTGTAATTTTAATTCTTCATTTTCTATTTGAGCCCATTTAATTTTTTTTGAAATGAAGGCTTCTGCGAGATGTATATTTTTAATTGATTTATAGTATTGCAGCTACTATCCTCAATAATACTTTTTGTGGTGCTCTCTATTTCTTGACTAGTATTTGGGTGGGTCCTCGATTCAACGGCAGTGCTTGTTCTATAAAAACGAATTTAGTTCAAAAATGTAAAATAATCCATTTATAATCACTATTTCAGACGTCAAGCGATTTTTTAAAGTTACTCAAGTTAATTTAAAAAATTACTCAACTTATATATTTGTTTTTCAAAAAGGTATTGTATTTTAGAAGTCACAAATATATTAGAGAGTTCAGTAACTTATTATATTTAAGAATATCAGCAAAAAACGATTGCGTCTTGTATTTTGTAAACAAATAAGACGTCCCCAATTTAACATTCAGAAGATCAAAAATGTCCCTGTACACTTTTAATCAGGTGGTCAAAAACTAACATATATAAAATTCAGCATATTCGACCGAAAACCATTTGCCATAAAGAAACTGAGGGTCGTTTTTCAAATTTCCGCCGTGTTTTTCTATATTGAGTTTCAATTTTAAATAAACATGATATTGATCTTTAAGAACCCCTAACTATTTTTCTGTAACTTAAAATCAATAGTGGCCAAATCAATTTGAGAAAAACTCGTAAACTTTAACTACTCTTGTTTTTAAATGTGATTTTTATTTTAGTTAACTTTTGTTAGCATTAAGCATAACGGGACTGTCATTTTACAGATTTTTAAGGATCCATCAAAAGTTGTTTACGTTAAATTATAATTTTTTATACAAAATAT